AAAATAGCTAAAAAACAGAAACAAGAAGGGACATGAAGTCAAATCTTGTGCGACTCACAATATTCGTTGCCTCCCACGGTGCAAAAACAGAAACAAGAAGGGACATAGAGTTAAAACCTATTCGTTGCCTCCCACGGTGCTAGGAGCGTTGCAACGATAGTTTCCCAGAATACAATGGCTACTAGGGCTGAGCACATGTACAAGACCGGACCGGACTAGAATGGAACTGAAATTCTAAAAAAAGTGGACCGAAGACCGGACCTGCATAATTTCAGTCCAGGACCAGACCGGACCGAATTATTTCGGGTTTTCCGGTCCAGATCGGTATTGGACAGGAGCAGTAGCAGCCAAGTAGAGGGCAAGTCTGAAGCGGAAGGAGTGTCATTTTTATGATGAATGAATAAGTCAAATTTTGTGTGAGCGAATAAGTCTTATTTCTTATTAAGTCCCAAGTAAACACACTTGAATGGCTGAACGATTAAATCAACATATCCATTAAGGGGGTGTTTGGATTTGATTCTTAAATCCGTTTCTGCTCCTTCAGGCAGCAGAAGCAGAACTTGGAGTGTTTGGGTAAAAGTGCAGAAGTGATTCTGGTGCTCTAATTTACTCCTAGAATCAGTTTTTTTAGAAGGTGGAGGTGACCAGCTTCTGAAAACTGATTCTGATTCTGCTTCTGCTTTTAAAAAAGAAGCAGAATCAGAATCAGTTCCAAACAACCCCTAAGTTGATTAAGTCATTAGTAAACAACCCCTTAATCTTTTTATGAGAAGTTCTCATTTATAAATGAGTTCTCACTTTAAATGGGGAGGGTTGTTATGAGAACCCCTCTTAAAATTAGAACTCATTTTAAAATAAGAACTTTTCATCTCCATCATTAAATATTATAATCAATGACTAATAATGACAAGGTGACATTTTTTGTAGATTTTTAGGATTAATTGCAAAAAGGCCCCATTTGAATTTGGGGTAATTATGAATATGACACCATGTGAATCATAACCAATGATTGCAACAAATGAAAGGTTGAGATTAAAAGATTTCATTTTAAAAGATCCTCATTGTAAGAGGGCTTTTGGATCGGAATGTTCCGGGTTTTGGACCGGACCGGACCAGAATCAGAATCAGTAAAACCCTTGGACCGAAGACCGGACCAGTATATATCCAGTACGGTTCGGTCCGGTTTTCCAGGCCGGATTATGCTCAGCCCTAGTGGCTACAGACAACCATTGCGCACACAATCGGTTGTTCCGGCAAACGGAAACAAAGTATGAACAATTGAGGAATTTTCAGAGAGTTGGAGGCAAATGAACAAGTCGCGAGTTTTTTCCTCTGTTTTTCAGGATTTGATCAAAGAGGAATCTTAACTCCTTCAAAGAGGATCACCTTTATAAGGGGGTGAGAATCCCTTAGGTTTTCCGGTGTGGGATAATTCACATTAGAAACTCATCCATTTTCCATTTTTCTCCATTTCAACGAGTGAACTTCAAGAATCAGATTTTCATTCACCCGTTAGCCGTTTTGAGTAAACCACATATCGAACCAAAGACCTTAACAAGGTAAATCCGAAACAGCTTTTACCTGACTCAAATCAGAAGTGGACCTCACTCAAAATTTTGCCCCAAATTGATCACTTGATGCAATTTTAACACATTTTTTTAACATAGCTCAATTTCAGAGCAATTAATGATTAACACATGTTTAAAAAGTTTCTATCAAAAGTCGTAAAATCAAATTTCATAATTTATAATTTTCTGTAATTTGATAGCCATTTATATATGTTAAACCTTTTAGTCATTTTTAATATGATTGTGATATTTGTCAATGAATATTAATTCCATTGTTGAGTAATAATCTTATAGTTTAGAGTCTAATCAATATTATCCCATTATCGAGTATCAATCTCATTGTTGGAAGTCTAGTATCAAGCAATTAGTATTAATATGATCAAGGTAAGGGTTTATGCTAGGCCCGGTTCATTCCAGGTTTTAAAAAACTGAATAAATAGTATGAAATTTATATAATATTTTTCTAAAACTATTCATTCTTTATACCAGTTCAGTATAATATTTTACGGGTATAGAGAAGGTACAAATTAGACTGAACTAATTTGTACCTTCTCTATACCCGTTGAAGATTGTTGTCCCCCCATTTGTTTTCATTTTATCTTCTTCATTTGTCTCATTAAGTTTGTTTCATTTGTATTTTTGTGGTTGTAATTCATCCGTATTTTGTTCACACTATATCAATTTAATGTCAACAACCCAATTTCACCTTTTTAAATAGTTGCACCACTAAAAGTGTAAAATAAGAGTCTCTCTCTAGGGTGTTCCATCGCCGCTAGAGTCATATTCCTCCGCTATCGGTTTCGATCGAGGAGAAGCTAATTCGAAGTGAGGATTGCCGAGGGTACATACGAAGGACAAGGGTTTGCTAAGAGGATTGTGTAGGGGTTGTCTTACCTTATCGGGATCTACGCATCGGCTGGGCGAGTTTGTTCCTTGCGAGACAGACAGAGGCTAGACGAAGAAAGGCGGCGGCTTCGATTGCGGATTGGCAGCAGTGATTGTTGATGGATTCCATTGTTAATCGATATAAGAATATGACTATTGGTGGGGATGCTGAGGAATTGGATCTGGACGAGGAAGAGGTGGGCGAATCCTCGGTTGTGGAGGAACAACCGACCTACCCGGTTGTAGGGATTTTGGTGGCTGACATAAAGATCGAATTTCAGATTTTCAAGGATCTTACGGCTTCGCTATGGAGACCAGGTAAAGGGGTATCCATCAAAGAGATTGGCAAGAAATTGTATCTCTTTACTTTTTATCATAGCGTGGATATGAAACGTATTTTAAAGGGTGGTCCGTGGCTATTTGAAAGAAATTTGCTGATATTAAAAGAGGTTAAGGCGGAGGATATCCCGCCCAAAATTGATCTCAATGAGGTAGGATTTTGGGTTCAAGTTCCTAATGTTCCTTGTAGCTTGATGAACCTAGGTACAACTAGAAGAATTGGTAATTTTATTGGCAATTTTGTTAAATATGATGACAATCAATTTGAAAAATGGGAAGCTTATTTGCGTGACAAGGTTTGTATGGATGTGGGTAAACCCTTGAAAAAAGGAACAACTCTTAAGAAAGCAGGAATTGAGCATTGGGTTGATTTCAAATATGAAAAATTACCCAATTTTTGCTTTTTTGTGAAATTATCGGACATTCTGATAAATTTTATCTGTCGACATAGGAGGATAATCTCGTATTGGAAAACTTTTATGGGGTTAGCCTGAGAGCTGGCAGTGGGGTGAAGACTAGACCTACATGAGGAAATAAGTGGCTTGTGAAGGGATCCTCCGGTGCAGCTCTGAGTCACTAATTAAAGGAGAATTACAAGACGAGAGGCGGATCACGAGGGCAAGCTGAAGGGAATCCACGACTGGCACGGGAGATAGCACGACTAAGGATGGGGACTTTGGAAGTATCGAGGAAGTGTTAGGAGAGCAAAATAGAAGAAGGATCTGGGAAGCACAGGACCAGGAAGAGCTAGACAGAGACATTATGGTTGTAGACAAGCCAAAAAAAGGGTGGCGGCGGGCTCAGATGTTTAAGCCCGCCGAAGGAACAGTCGCATGTAGCAGACTCGGGACGGTGTTTGGTTTTCTTTTCCTGGAAGACTGAGCAGGGCTTTTATTTTTTCGTTGTGCTTGTTTTTTATGGTGTTGAGTAATTCGTTTTTTTTCAGCTTGTTATTTTTTTGCATTGTAAGACAGTTACGCTCATTAAAGGATCAACGAGTTATATTGCTTCTTTTGAGGTGATTAATTTTGAATCTAATTCGAGGGTCGGCGGTTTCCATCGATCTTTTTGTCTTTTTAACCCTTATCTGCATGGTGTGATATCAATTTAAGCCACCCTTCATATAAAAAAAGTTGCACCACTCCAACTTATTACACATGATGACTAATACTAATGAGTGTTGGATTACTCTCCTTCAAAATCGACCTAAGCTTTAGTGAAAAATACAGTAACTAAAAATAATGAAAGTTACTACAATAGTAATTTGGTCATTTCACGATTTTTTTTTAATTCCGAACAAAGAATATAAAAACGTGGTTTTACTTTTAGACCGTCAAACCATGTTCTTTCATGCGACTATGCACCCGTTCAGTAGATGTTCTTAGTATTAATCTCATTGTTTAGAGTCTAGTATTAAGCCATTAGTATTAACTATTAGGGTGTGTTTGCAAAAGTTTTAAAAAAATGATTTTGAGTTTCTAGCTTAAAAAAATTGTAAAAGTGTTTTCAAGTGACAATTTCTACTTAAATCAAATACTTAAAAGCTAAAAGCTAGAACATGCTTTTTACTTTTTCTCTTACACAAAAGGCACATATTTTATCAAACATTATCAACTTTTACTTTTCAAAATCATTTTTTTCTCAAACACTACCAACTTTTACTACTCCCCCCGTCCCGCAATTAAGTTACTACTTTCCTTTTTGGGCAGTCCCTAAATTAAGTTCACATTTCCTTACTTTCCTTATTTGGAAAATTATCTACATCAAAAGAGTGTCAAATAATGCAAAACAGTGTCCAAACAGTGCAAAACAATGTCAAACAGTGTCAAAACGGTAAAATTTACCCCCCAATAAATTTTTTTCCTTAATATGTGTGAAATTCATCTCGTAACTTAATTGGGGGACGGAGAGAGTATTAAACATTTTTTCTAAAATCAGTTTAAAAAGTGTTTTTTTTTAAATAAAAGCAATTGCAAACACTCTCTAAGGGGCAGGCAAATAAGGGACATGCTAGACTTTGCTCATTCCAACTTCCAAGTTTATAAAAGAATTTGAATAAATAGTATATAAAATTGTTTGCAAAAAAATATTACCTCTCCTGTGGACTTCGGCAAGTTCAAAGTATGTGAGAAATAAGAAAAATATAAATTGTGTGATTGCGATTTGTGCAAAGTATAGAGCAATTAGCAGAACCACAAGTTAGTTATCTTTTTTGCAAGAGAAAAACTTAATTACTATTAATCAAATCATAGTCCAGAATACATGAAAAAAAAAGACGGAGGATAAAAAAACCAAGTATGCTGCTCAGACACGGAACACGTCGCTCTTGCTAATGCATGGACGGACTTGTTCGCTGAACGTTTCACATGACTAAAAGAAATACTAGAAAAATGCCTTGATAAATTTCTTATGTCACCAGCTATCACCCCAATAGAAGAATCGCTAGTTCCTTTGAGAATTTCAGAAATAGCACAGGATGAATCCGATTCCATGTCAATATCTACCCATTCGTAGTCTTGCAACCAGCTTAACGTCTCTCGAATACCAATTAATTCTGCTGCCAAAGGAGATAATTTTCCTTCCCTCGGACATGCCACACCAGTCACGAACCTGCCCCTTTCATCCCACAAGCACCACCCCAGCCCACAACCGGAATCCCGAACAGCAGCATCCACGTTCAATTTAATTCGCCCCAGAATTGGACGACTCCACGAGGATGCCGCCTGCTGCTGCCTGTAGTTTCCTTCCACCCGGTTTGCCTGAGCTTGAATCCATCCCATAACTGTTGTTGATGCCTTCCCCACAAGCTGAACTGTCGATTGGGAAGTCCCCTGCCAAACACGCTGATTTCGCTCACACTGAATTTTTCCAATTCTCCCTTCCTCTTTGAATTAAATTCCAACTCCAGCTGCTCCAAAAATTCTCAAGCTCCAGGATTAATCCAAGTCCAATTCACCACTTTCCAAACTTCCTTAGCCGCTTCACAGAGGATGAATAGATGGAGTGTAGATTCCTCGGCCTTCCCACACATCCCACAAATCCCAGAACAATCAACCCTTTGTGCCTGTAAATTCAACCGAGTTGGTAAACAGCCGCTGCAGAACTGCTAGAAAAAAATTTTTATTTTTGGAGGAAGAAGCCAATTCCACATATATAGCCGACCACCCCAACCACCCAGAGAGATTATTCTGACCCATCAACTGTCTATAGCAACTCCTAACAGAAAATAAGCCACTATTTTCCCATTTCCAACAAATTTTATCCGGTATTTCCCGATAGATAAGTGGTATACTCTTGATTAAAAAAATATCCTTGCTCACAAATAAATCATTTAAAATATCCTCATCCCACTCCCGGCTCGTGACAGCAAAGAGATTAGCCACTTGATGGAGAATATGGCACGGGAACCCCCGGTCCACAGACTCCTGATGGAGTATATGGCTCGAGAACCCCCGGTCCACAGACTCCTATTGCTCCAATAAAGGCCCAATAGGCCCAGGAAGCACAACAGACCCAAATCACAGTGCCCAGAGTACCAAGCGGCCCACAGTGAGCGCTAGAGGTGCCTTCGGCCCCCTGGCCGAAGACTCTGATTCTCACAGGAGGGTCAAAACAGGAAAAAAAAGTCACTGGGAGAAAACGGCGAAAATAAGTAGCCCTCGGCACCTACAGCCCTCGGCACTAAGGAGATCCACGGTACTCAGAGCCCTCGGCTAATCATCTACAGCCGAGGGCACCTTTCCGACATAATATCCGCTCCACATGCGCGTAGATCACTGTACCAAGTACGACGTCACATTCAACAGCCGCATTAAATGCGGCCACATGCGATTGTCAGCGCCAACCAGTTGAGGTGACCCCTCGGCTAATGGATGCTTGACACGTGTCCCCATCTGGCATTTATTGCTACTATAAATAGCACCCCATTTCCCCGTTGTAAACCACGCTAAAAACGTTGAATACACTTTCTAATATACTCTCTCTCTACATTACTTGCTCTGACTTCTCTCTAGTTATTCCTCGCAATAACCCCTCAGATAAGCTACCCCCCGGGTACACTATCCATCATTTGGTGCTCTCCTTGAGAGGTCGAACAATCAAGTAAGAAACCCTCCCCCTCGACCAAACACAAAACACCTAGCTAAAATGGTGAGAACAACTCGTGCCAACTCCAAGAATGTAGAGGACAGGAACCTGGCCCTCGGCGAGGTCGACGTCCCCGAAGCCTCTAACAGGGCTCCCGGGGGCGGCGTCATCGCCGGCTTGGACCAGACGGCTGTCGACCTACGCCATCAGATTCAACAGAATGCCCCTGATGCCTGCCTCGGCATCGAGGCCAAGAAGAAGGACCGGAGCGAGAATCAAATTAGCCCTCCGGTCATCACGATCGACATACAATCGGCGCTCTCCGCCTTCATCTAGACGCTCACCCAGAATCTGGGTGCCTTCGGCACTTTGGTTCCCCTCCAACCTCAGATCAGGGAGAATATTATGCCTCCCCCTCATCCACACCCCCTCGGGAACCCGGTCCTCCAGATTGGGAACTCCGAGGGGGTCGTGGCCCAAGATACGGCCTCCCAGGAAGTCCAGTCCCGGGACCGCCATAACGTGAACAAAGGACAACTCCGGACCTCCGCCCTCGAGAGACTCGAAAGAGCGCAAGACCGCCGAGGGGTCCAAGACCGCCTCGATGGGAAGGCGTTCCAGAGGCCTCAGGAAAGTGGCGGGTCCGTCTCCAGGGCCAATGAAAGGCGTCTCCCTCAGGACAAAGGTAAGGCACCTCTCCATGCCAACGACGCCCGCCACAAAATCAACCAGGCCCACTCGCCCCGCGTCCATTCGCAGGGGGCGGAGGCCCTCCCGAAGGACCCCTGGGACGAAATCATTACGGCCCTCCAGCGCCGGCTTGACGAAATGGAGGCCACCAAAGCACACGCCACCACTTCTGCCCCTCATACAGACCTCAAGTATGAGGCGATGTTGGCCAAGATGGAGGAAATGCAGAAGAAGATAGTCGAGGGCTCCGGGGAACCCACCATACAGCTCCGGACCCGGACGCCATTTACCCCAAGGGTATTGGCAGCCCGGATCCCGGAACAATACCGAGGGCAGCTCATCAAGCCCTACGACGGAAAGACTGACCCCAAGAGCACTACAACAGGTATCAAAACAGCATGATGATGGTGGGGGCATCGGATGAATATTTGTGCCGCTGGTTCCTCTCCACCTTGGAGGGACCGGCTTACGAATGGTTCAATCGATTGCCCGAGGGCTGCATTGACTCATGGCAAGAACTCGCCCAGTGATTCTTGACGCAATTTGCGGGATGGCGCCGCACAAGAAAACACTTCTCCCACTTGCTGACAGTGAGGCAGAGGAAGGAGGAGACCCTTCGGGGCTTCTTGGAGCGCTAGAGAACGGAGGCTGATAAAGTTGATGGCGCTGACGACGGGACCCTCCTGGTCCTCCTCCAAACAGTACTCCGCCCCGGGAACTTCTCAAGGAGCCTCATAATCGAGCCTCCCCGCGATTATATAAGGGCCCTACAGCGGGGGGACCGGTACGCCGAAGCCGAGGAGGTGGAGGAATGCCACCACGTCCCGGATCAGCAGCGCCCTCGGCCAGACGACAAAGGTATCCGGGGGCTGGGGGCTCCCCGCAATCATCCCAAGGATTCTGCCCTCTCCGGTGATCGCCCCCGGCATGGCCAAGCTAAGCCCGGGGGAGGCTACAAGGAGAACCTGAGGGCTTGGGCACAACCTGTCCTCCCGGAGCACCCTCGGACACCTTTGACGCACCCCGTCAGCGTCATTCTTGATTTTGCTGAGGAGAGGGGCCTAGTGGAGCGAGATTCACGCGCACCCCCGAAAGTATTCGCCATCAATCCAAACTACCCCTACTGTCGTTTCCACCGGCACCAGGGGCACAGGACCGATGACTGCCATCAGCTGAAGACTGCCATCGAAAGATTGATACAAGCGGGCCATCTGTCCCAGTTTATCCAGGGCCCTCAGCAACAGGGCCCCCCTCACCAATGGCCAACCCGAGGGCAGACTGTGAGAACAAATGCATGGGTCAACCCCAACACCATCCCCCTCGGCAAAAAGAGGGAGATTGGGAACCTGGAAGAAGAGGAGGAGGAGTACCCCCGGTATCAAGAGAAGAAGCGCCACATCCTAATGATCACCAGGGGCAATACCGGGGGTGACTCTACAAGTCAACGAAAGAAGTGGGCTCAGTCACTTTACGTGGGGGAAGTGTAACACCCCGATTTTTTTAGCTAGTTATATTAATCAATATTAATATTTATTTTAGTCAATTAAATAAATTTCTTCTATGACTAATGTGATTTATTGTTTGATCACGTATTGTTCTGGCAGGTAACGTTGACCGGTAAAGCTCTAATAATTTTAAGTGAAGAATTAAGTAATGTTTTAAAGCTTAATCAGTTTATTTTTGGAATAGAAAATATTTTTAATATTGGATTTTTTTTTAGAATATTCAGAGCCCAAATCAATCTTAGCCTAAACAAGTCTCTTTTAAACTAAATCCCTGAGGAGATATATATCATCACAGAAACCCTTAAGCTCTAGAGAGAGAGAGCCGTCCGTTTTTTTTTCTTAACCTCGCACAACCGCTCCTCTGGGTTTTCTCTTCCAAAACATTACACCGCCTTAAACTTTCCGATCAAAAGTTCAGCTCTAAATCGACATCCCAAACCTGGTAAGTCAATTTCCATTCTCTCTATTTCTATTTGTTCTTTTAGGCTTGTTGAAAAACATGAAATTCTGCAAGATTTGGTTAGTTTCTTTGGTCCGTTAAATGATTTCCAAAACCTCGAGTCGGTAAATTAGTCATTCCTTACTTCATAGATTAATGATTCAACACTCATTGATGTAATTTGTTTTCCATCAGTTCTCGACAAAGCAGTGCAATGTATTGCTAGTGGAGAATTTTTTTTAGTGATTTGATGTTTTATCATGGCTGAAATTTTGACAAAGTGAGCTAGAATCCCAGGAGTCTAATTGCAATTGTTATATGAATTGTTATCGAACCAGAAGTATAGTTATGCAGAAGTATAGTACTTTATTTCAAGATTTTGATGATGTTTTACTCAAACGTCACCATAAAAAGAATTAATATTTAAAGTGAAAGATCAAATGATATGTACTCGGGAACAAGTTCCCTCAGATTATCAGTTTAGCAGTTTCAGAGAGTCTGATATGTTTAGTGGGTCGCTCCCCTGAGCTGTCGGATTGGCGCCTTTGAGTACATATCACGGGCCCACAATTAAAATTAGCCACAAAGAGTTTTACAGAAAGTTATTTTTTTTGATCTCTTTCAAAAAGTTTTACAGAGATGTTTTGAGAAAGAAATTTTGAGATCTCTCTAGCAGTTTGGAGAAATTATTTTAGAAAATATTTCTTTTGGGATCTCTCTCAGAATTTATTTGAGAAGCTACTTGTTAGTTGTTTGTTTAGTGCATGCTTATGGCCTAAATTTATCTATTGATAAATTAGCATAGACTTCTCAAATATTTTTGTGGATCCATAGTGACTTACTAAGCATAAAGCTTATCAGTTTTCTTTATTCGCATGTACAGATACTAAAGGTAAGGCCAAGGCCTAGGAAGATGATGAGGGAGTGGAACGCGTGCCGAAATGAGTTAACGGGAACGACCTTGGTGGCTTCTACTAGTTATTATTTTATTAAAGTATTTCAGATGTTATAATAAAGTGATTATTATTACTTTATTTTAATTGAGGTTTTGGAGTTTTAGTAAATTCCTGGATCCAGGTGGATATCACAGTTGATGGTGATAACTAGATTTTATTGAGTTTTTATTTGGAGCTATATTTATGTTATATTTGATATTTTATCAGGGTTATTTTCTAAACAAACGGCCGTTATATTGCAGTTTTTTTTAAAGTAGTAAGTTTATGTAACGTTTCCTTTACGTGGGGGAAGTCTCTCATATACCCCCAGTAAAGCGGCTGAGGGAGGAACCCATCACCTTCACCAACGCTGATCTCCCCCCAGTGTCCTCCCCACACAGGGATGCCCTCGTCATCCGCACAGAAATAAATGACACTATTATTCACCGAACTTACGTTGACACGGGCAGCTCCGTCAATGTAATGTACCTCAGTACCTTCAGAGAGCTGCATCTGGAGAGGGGGTCCCTTCGGCCCATCAAGACCCCTCTTGCCGGCTTCACCGGAGACACCATTGATTCCGAGGGGGTTATAACCCTACCGGTACTCTTCGGCGACGGGCTCCATAGAGCCAAGCTCGAGGTGGAGTTCGTCGTCGTCAACATCGACTGCGCCCACAACATCATCCTCGGCCGGCAAGCCCTCGAGGATCTCGAAGCCGTCATCTCCATGAGGCACCTCTGCCTCAAGTTCCCGGCCGAGGGGGGGGGGGGGGATCGGTTACTCAAGGGGAAATCAAAAGCTTGCCCGCGCTTGCTACCTTCAAGTGACAAAGAAGGTTAGCAAGACGGAGTTCCACGTTGACACCATCACCGGAACTGTGGAAGCGGAAGAAAGGAGGCCGAGGGCTGAACCAGCCGAGGAGGTAAAGGACTTCACGCTCGATCCGGCCAAGCCGGAGAGAGTCGTGAGGATTGGAGCCAAGCTCCCTGAAGACTTGAAGACCGGCATCATCAGCGCCCTCCGCGCCTACTCCATTGTTTTTGCATGGGGGCCGGAGGACATGCCGGGGGTCAGCCGAAGGGTCATCACCCACCGCCTCTCGGTGGACCCTTCGGCCAAACCAGTACAACAGCGGAGGAGACCCTTATCGGCTGAGAGGAGGGAATTCGTGAAGAAGGAGGTTACCATGCTCCTCTCTATCAAGCACATCAAGGAGGTAAAGTACCCCTCATGGTTGGCAAACGTGGTCCTTGCACAAAAACCGCCCTCATTCCGCATGTGCGTGGACTACACGGATCTC